GGGGAATTTGAGCAAAAACTGCTCAATGTCTCTTAACTAACATGTGTTCAACTCCTCCCACATGTTACTATGCTTCAAAACAGGATGGTGAATAGTAAGATTGGGAATGGGAATCCCTCCACCACCCTCCAATCCCAGGAAAAAAAAAAGTTCGGATAAAGGAGAGAGGTTTGGTGAGTTGATGAATCCTCATGGCAAAGAATTCATTGTTATGCCCGATAGAGCAGAATGATTTTTGAATCTAGTCAACTCCAACTTCGTGTGGTATTGACGGATAGTTGATTGATTAAATTTCTTTTACTACTAAAAAGACGTTGAATTTCCGATGGAATCAGTCAGAAATTGGCTAGTCAGAAAACGTTGCTGACAGACTTTATGTCAAAAATTCCTTTAGGATGAGCCGATTTCCGATGGGACGTTCGTCAGATATTCGCGCTTTTTTTTAGTAGTAATTTAATATCTTTGTGATAGCTGGCCACATCATGCTACAATATTGCTGCTACCCCTTGCAACATCCTAGTATGTTAAGTGCTAGATTTTCAGGAGGCAAGGGACCCAGCAATCTCAAAGGGATATTTGGGATGGCTATGCAACCGTAACCTGCACCACTAAAGACTAACAGCAGTTATTGGTGAAGCAATTGCTCTTTCATTTGTATTTTTGTCCTTAAGTAATGTACTGCACCAAAGTAAGCATTACAAGGTCCATGGGCCTTTTATCTCCTTCCATCACCGGTTAAGGTCTGGTTTCTCGAACCAACATCCAGTTCAAATATATCCCCACTGAACTAGTTCTCTTTTGTGCTTTAACCATTTCTCCAACTATTTTCAGTAGAGCTTGGTGTATTGCTTCTTCTTTTGTGGAATTCTCGTATTTTCTAATAATAGTCCAACATATGCAGCATAAACTTCAAGATAAATCAGCTCTAAGTTATCAAGAATCTATCTGTCTAAACCAAAGTCTAGGCATAAAGTCTCAGTTTAAGTTAAAAGGGATAAAAAAGCAGTAGACCTACTAAAACACTCCTCCAGCTAGCATTTATTCCTCAACTATTCGTTATACCACTTTACCCCTTTGAGTACTAGAGACTTAGGCCCGTATACTATCTCAGCAATGGCTAACGCCTAAATGCACCTTATAGATTGTACCAAGGGCAGCATTAGACAAAAGGAATGTTGGAGCATAATCCCAGCTTGCAAATGGTGGATTGTCTGGATGGAAAGAAATGCAAGATTTTTTGAAGATAGATGCAACTCAATCAAATGGAAAAAGATGAATTGTATATTGTTATTTCATTTCTGGTGTAAAGAGAACTATGTAAATGAAGCAGGCTCTATACTAGACCTCATAGAATCCTTGTAAAAGGAATCCTCGTGAAAAGAATAAGGATGATGTTTGCTCTTTTTGAGTTTGTAAATATGGCTAGCAACAGTCTTTTGTGTCGATGACTTAACAAGGTTACCTTTCTCAAAACAGAAAAGGATTGTAAGGAAAACGAAGAAGAATGATTTGACAAAGGGGGTATTGAAGATGTCATTGTTTGAGTTCAAGAGCACTGCACATCAAGGAAAGTTCAATATAAAGAATCATAAGAACACAAGAAATGAAGGAGAGGGAACATACCCACAAAAATTTGAAGAAAAACAAATGCAGACATGCATCATCGAAATGATGGACATACCATATGATCCCTCTGTCTTAATGGTTCTGCATTTTATATTTGTGTATTGGTTTAACCCAAAAAGTATTTCTGCTTTCTTTAAAAGAGTCTTCGAATCTTCCTCCATATCCTCTTCAACACCTCCTCCAGTATTGTACAATAAAAAGAGTACCATAAGACCTAAATTCTTCAAAAAGTACTCTGCTTCTACTTGAATAGAATAAATTGTGTCCAAACCAATTACGTTACCTAAATTTGGGACCGAGAGATAATATTTTCTAATTGTGCTAGGAACACAAGTTATACCAGCCGCATATCCATCCAAAGCAAAATTCCTTAATGGAAGAGATTCAGCTTAGGGTTTAAATTCCTTTAAATCCCAAGCTATATTTTGTTGCAGTGCTAGTAGCTAAATGCACCTCAGAGAGCATTCAAGGATTGTACCAGTGAAAACAAAAAAGATTGAATTGAAAAAAGGGGTGTACATGCCGTCGTTTTTTAGTACAAGAGCACTGCATCAAGGAAAAGTTCAATTAAAGAATTACAAGACCTTGAGAAAAGAGGATTCCACTTTATCAAAAAAATGAAAAAGAAGTACTCTGCTACCTCATCAAGGAGAAGGTGAACAGAGCCACAAAAACTTGAAGAAAAGCAAAATGTTTACATGCATTAAAGAAACTTGACTATCCCAACATTGTGTCTGCCCTACTAAAAGGATCTTCGAAGCTTTCTCTCATACCCTCTTCAACACTTCTTCCAGTATTTACAATAAAAAGAGTACCCATAAGA